ACCCATGTACAAATGCATACAGGTGTATCCTATAAATCTTCAATTCCTGGGTGCAGAAATAGTTTGTATACCCCAAGACAGCCAGGTGCATGAGCCCTAAGTGTTAGCTCTCTGTCTGGTGTAAAGATAGTACCTGCAGCCACAGAGGTCAGTGAAGGCTTTTATTAAAATTATTTACTGCTAGTTAGGAATATGTAAATTTTTGATTATGCATATCCTGGCTAATTCTACTTTAAAGGTAAACTCCAACCATTTTTTATAAATGTTTGGTTAGAGTGGGGGAAAATTAACATTTGTGTCAAGTTTTGATTTAAATCTGTGATCCTTTTGGAGAGATTTGCCTTTATTGCCTGTCCCTGTGGCACCTCTACAAGAAACGGAAAGTGCAGTCCTCACCGGGACTGAAAGGAACAGCCACAAATAAAAATAATGGCAGAAAAACATAACATTTCCTGGATTATAATCCATCAAAAGGTTGCTAGTGTGATTATCAATAAACAATCTATATTTGAACTCACATGGGAACCGTGGGCACCCTTTATGAAGATAGCATTACCTTCTTTTCATACTTGATTAACCTTCTCTCCTTGGTTGCCTAGGTCTCCTATCATTCTCTTTTCTTTTTCTCCTTCTTCCTTTCTATCCTTTCTTTTTTTCTCTTCGACTCTTTGGAAAGAACTCTTCTGTTCTCCTTCTTTCTATTTTCTCTTTCTTTCTTTCTTTCTTTCTTTCTTTCTTTCTTTCTCTCTCTCTCTCTCTCTCTTTCTTTCTTTCTCTCTTTCTCTCTTTCTCTTTCTCTCTTTCTTTCTTTCTTTCTTTCTCTCTTTCTCTTTCTCTCTTTCTTTCCTTCTTTCTTTCTTTTTCTTTTTTCTTTCTTTCTTTCTTTCTTTTTTCTTTCTTTCTTTCTTCTTTCTTTCTTTCCTTCTCTTTCTTTCTTTCCTTCTCTTTCTTTCCTTCTCTTTCTTTCTTTCTTTCTTTCTTTCCTTTCTCTTTCTTTCTTTCTTTCTTTCTTTCTTTCTTTCTTTCTTTCTTTCTTTTCTTTCTTTCTTTCTATCTTTCCTTCTCTTTCTTTCTTTCTTTCTTTCTTTCTTTTTTCTTTCTTTCCTTCTCTTTCTTTCTTTTTCTTTCTTTTTTCCTTCTCTTTCTTTCTTTCTTTCTTTCTTTCCTTCCTTCTCTTTCTCTCTTTTTCTTTCTTTCTTTCTTTCTTTCTCTCTTTCTCTTTCTCTCTTTCTTTCCTTCTCTTTCTTTCTTTCTTTCTTTCTTTCTTTCTCTTTCTTCTTTCTTTCTTTCTTTCTTTCTTTTCTTTCCTTTCTCTTTCTTTCTTTCTTTCTTTCTTTCTTTCCTTCTCTTTCTTTCTTTCTTTCCTTCTTTCTTTCTTTCTTTCTTTCTTTCTTTCCTTCCTTCTCTTTCTTTCTTTCTTTCTTTCTTTCCTTCTCTTTCTTTCTTTCCTTCTCTTTCCTTCTCTTTTCTTTCTTTCTTTCTTTCTTTCTTCTCTTTCTTTCTTTCTTTCTTTCTTTCTTTCTTTTTCTTTCTTTCTTTCTTTCTTTTTTCTTTCTTTCTTTCTTCTCTTTCTTTCCTCCCCTTACTAGTTTTCTCTGTTCCCTTGCTATTTATTTTTCAGTATGTTTCAGTTGAATGTCAGCCTATTGTCTCTCACTTCAGGCATTTCTTGTGATATCTGATGTAAATGCCCTATGTGTCATCTGACTTTATACCCTATAACCTCTAGTTCCTGTCATTGTAAAATTTTGCAATTTTAAAATAAAAAAACTTTTAAATGAATAAAAAAATAGCAATAAATGGCAGAAGATCTAACCTTTCCACTCTGTTCCACCACCGTTTTTTTGTTTTTTTTTTAAATTATTTTATAATAATTTAAAAATCAAATATAAAATATTTATAGTAAATTAATGTTATTTATGGATAGTCTTGGGTAGAACGGGAGGATATACGAGCTTTGTGGGCGGAGACAGAAGAAGGCGGGGGGAGCCGTACAGCTGATAAGTGCGTGGCTGAGGTCTGTACATTTGGAAGTCCATCTCACTGGCTTCATGTTGGCGATATTGGATTTCCTTTGCCACAAAGTGTTTCTTTCATGTCCTTGTGATTAGCAAATTTTCTGGCTCTTGGATCTGGTAGTTTCTTGAAGAATCCTTTTGGCCTGACATGAGCTCCCAGACTCGCCCAGAAGGAATATCTGGTCGGGACCAACCAGTGGAGCTTATAATGCAGACTTGTGCCAAACACATGCCAAGCACTTTATTTGCAGAGCCCATTTTGTGATCCAGTCACCTACCAACCATCTATATCCAGAGAAGGGAGTTCCCTGTAAGCAGCATTCTCACCTACCCATCCCTTAAAGGGACCTCTGGTTACCTGGATCCGTTTAATCTGTTACCGGGCATTGCTGACCATAACCCTGAGGGAGGATTACCTATGCTCCTGACCAGACCTTTACCTGATGAGGAAACCCTGGATGTGATACTTAATGCGTATATATATATTACGCATCTGGTGAGTGCGTAATCTTACCGTATTTCTTGGAGCACCACCACCAAATTTTAACCAGTCACTTGGCACCTTATATTCACACAGACTGTCATTCATATTGAACGTTCATTTATATTACATTATCAGTTTGTTGTTTAATATACCCTTTTTTCTCCTGTATCATAGTTTTAGCGCTGCACTATTTTACTTATTAGATATAAAATATTAGTGTCAGGGCAGGAGCTGGGAAACGGACAGGCAGGCCTAATAACAATGTAACGCACAGGGTGACGACAACCACCACCCACAGACCGAAGAAGTCCCTCAGGGTGCGGAGTCTAAGTCCCAGGCTGCCCTTCACCAGGGCCCCTGATGGTGGGGATGGACTTGACGCAGCCAGGAACCAGTTCGCGGCCCCCGAGGCACCCCAGCTGTGGTAATGGCCGCCGCCAATGGTGTGTAGCTAGTGGTAAAGACAATAGAGTAGTCGGGCAGGCCAGGTCAACAACAACGAGACAAAACAGTACAGGACAGCAGACGAGAATCGCAGGGCACGAGCCGGGTTCAGCAACGGAGGGTCAGATCAAAGGAGAACACAAAGAATGGTCAGGTCACAAGCCGAGTCAGATTCCAGGAGAGTCACGAGAGTCAGAACAGAGTAACAGCAACACAAAGACACAAGTGCAAAGAGCATGTGCGGACCACAGGCTTATATGTCATCAGCCACACCCCTCTGGGGGATGGACCTCAGAGACCTGAAGGCATAAAAGATTCCCACCATGCTCTGCAGAAATCCAAGATGGATGCCAGCACATGGAGTAACATAACCTCTGGTAAAAAGGTAGGACCTTGACAATTAGTCATTTGTAATTTTTTTTCCAAGACACACCTTCCAATTACACATTGCTATCTTTTATTAAAACTCTTGAAGAGTAAGCAGAACCAGTTGTTTCCAACCATTTTTTTTAAATGGTTGGTTAGAGTGGGGGAAAATTAACATTTGCAACAAGTTTTGATTTAAATCAATGATTATTTCGAAGATATTTGTTCTTATTGCCTGTCCCTCCCTATGACACCTCTACAAGAAACGGGAAGTGCAGTCCTCACCAGGAGAGAAAGGAATAGACACAAATAAAAATATTAGCAGAAGATCTAACCCTTCCAATCTGTTCCCCCACCATTTTTTTAATAATAATTTAAAAGTCAGATTTACAATATTATTCAATTGTGATTTTTTTTTTCCCAAGCCACACCTTTCAGTTATACATTGCTCTTTTATTAAAATTCTTGAAGAGGGATCAGAACTAGTTATGTGCAGTAATCTATTGCAACCAACTGAAATCCAGCAGCCATTCCTGTAAAGGTCACATTCCGGTTGCTATGGAATACAGCATATTTCTGCCCTTAGCTCCGTGTTATTAAATAAAACCAATAAACCTTTAAACCAACATCTACAGTAAATTCTATGCATGCCTTAGAATGGGTTTGCTACAGCAAGGGAAATATCTATTTCATAGAATATTCAAAAGGCCATAAAAATATTCCTTATATGGCGGTGTGCTGGCAATAAATTGATAACTTCTGTGATTTACACTTCTACCACTGCATTAAAAAGGTACTTGGTGGAGAAGGGAAGAGAGAAAATTTGGCTGCTGAAACATTACAAATGTCACATTTATTTAGTACAGCAAACTGAGAAGTAAGTAATGGGCATTCAATATTTTAAAAAATCCACCACATTTCCAAAGTATCTGATTTTGTACAAGTATTCTACTTTATTTTTTATTTTAATAGGACAGTTTTATTTTTTGTTTCTCTTGCAAACACTATTGCTTTTTTTTTTTTTTAATTTAACACTAATAATGACACGGTAAATGTACCAAGTACCGTAAACTGATTCTAAATGATTAAGTAGAAATGCATTTATGCTCTTGTTCTCCAGTTCGGGCCGCTTCACCCTTACATCTCATAATATTTAATGACCTGGAATGTAAGATCTTTACTGCCAATATTCAGGATTAATTTCCAAAGCACAACTGTGAGATTTAAAAAATGTTTATCAAACAGAAGCAATGAAGGTTTTAGCCGTTGTTACTTGAAGAAAAAGGGTCAGAACCAAAAGGTTTAATCATTGACACTTACCAAAAAATAAGTAGTATATGACTAAGATATCAGAACCCATCAGGTTTCTAGAGATTTGAATAGTTAAGGGTTATAACTCTTACCGAGAAATGGTGTCAGTATTACACTTTCAAAAAAAAAGAGATCAATGGAGACCTTCATTTCAGAACTATTGCCCCGAGATATTTAGTGTGAAAAGATTTTTTAGTTCCCGCTAATTACAATTCAAATCATTATTTTTTCCTTTAAAAAAATAAATTTTATATTGAGTTACAAGCTAAAATCTTTCTAATTGTAGCACCCTCCTAGTACAGAGTAGGCTGCTAAGTAAATTTAGTTGGCTCCACTGTAATCAGAGGAGCAGGGATGGATTATTTAGGGCTGTTTAGTGTATCTTAACCATTTCAATACCGGGCAATTTTACACCTTCCTGCCCAGGCCATTTTTCAGGTTTCAGCGCTCTCACACTTTGAATGACAATTGCGCGGTCATACAACATTGTACCCAAACTAAAATTTTATCATTTTCTTCACACAACTAGAGCTTTCTTTTGGTGGTATTTAATCACCGCTGGGGTTTTTATTTTTTGCTAAATTAACAAAAAAAGACCAAAAAATTTGAAAAAAAAAACAAGTTTTTCTTTGTTTCTGTTATAAAAGTTTGTAAATAAATAATTGTTCTTCATAAATTTAGGCCGAGATGTATTCTACTACATGTCTTTGGTGAAAATAACCCAAATTAGGATGTATTTTTTAGTTTGTAGGAAAGTTATAGAGTTCACAAACTATGGTATAGATCTGAAAATTGATCAATCCTGAAGTACTGACAGCCAATCTAATTTCTTGAGGTCCAAGAATGTCAGAATAGTACAGATATCCCCCAAATGACCCTTTTTGCAAAGTAGACAGTCCGACGTACTTCATAAGAGGCATGGCGAGTTTTTTGAAGTTGTATTTTTTTTGTCATAATTTTTCGGAAAATGAAAAAATAAAAAAAATTATTTTCACTAATTTTTTTTTACATATTGTCACCAGTGCAGTACAGCGGCATCATATAACTGGCATGGTGGTGAACATGGACACTGAGTGGTGACAGTGTGAAAATATATATATATATTTCTTTTTTTTTCTTATAAATTTTTAATTACTTTTTTTTCTTTTTTTTAAGATTTTTTTTCATATTTCACTATGTCTAAAGTAGTAAAATGTTACCATAGTAACATTGTACTACTTTGGGGAAGTGATCAGTATTTTTTTTTTTTGTTACACAATTTGCTTATAGCAAAGAATTACTTTGCTATAAGCAAGCATTTACCTGAATGACATCGATTCATTCAGGGTTTTTTTTTTTTTTTTGGCCACAGCTAATCACATGACATGCGCATGTGACTAGCTGTGACCATTCACAGCTAGACACTAGTATACAATGGATGGCATGAATGAAGCCAAGAATGTCAGAACAGTACAGATATCCCCCAAATGTCAGGACAGTACAGATATTCCCCAAATGTCAGAACAGTACAGATATCCCCCAAATGACCCCTTTTTGCAAAGTAGACAGTCCGACGTACTTCATAGGAGGCATGGCGCGTTTTTTGAAGTTGTATTTTTTTTTTCATAATTTTTCGGAAAATTAAAAAAATTATTTTCACTATTTTTTTTTTACATACTGTCAACAGTGCAGTACAGCGTCATCATATAACTGGCATGGCGGTGAACAGGGACACTGACTGGTGACAGTATGAAAAAAAAAATATATTTTTTTTAATTTTTTTATTTTTTTTTTTTATTATTTTTAATTTTTTATTACATTTTTTTTTATTAAGATTTTTTTTTTCATATTTTACTATGACCAAAGTAGTACAATGTTACCACGGTAACATTGTACTACTTTGGGGAAGTGATCAGAATTTTTTTTTTTACACAATTTGCTTATAGCAAAGAATTACTTTGCTATAAGCAAGCATTTACCAGAATGAAATCGATTCATTCAGGGTTTTTTTTTTTTTTTTTTTTTTTTTTTTGTGCTTAGCTGTGATTTGGCCACAGCTAATCACATGACATGTGCATGTGACCTGCTGTGACCATTCACAGCTAGGCACTAGTATACAATGGATGGCATGAATGAAGCCATCCATTGTATACAACTGTCATGTGACCTGCTGTGATTGGTCTCAGCAGGTCACATGGTACCGGCAACGGGGGCCGGTACTCAGATCTGTCATCGGCCGTGTCCTAGGTACACGGCCGGTGACAGATCGTGCCGCTGCGCAGCTCTGCAACTGCGCGAACTGCGCATGTGCGGGAGCACGCCAAATGGAGTGCACCCAGAAAGGTGAAGCATTTTTGCCGCCGCCGCCAAACGGCTATAGGCCAGGCGGCTAATGGTTAAGCAGCTTTTTTGTTACTTACCCCTGTCTTCTAGAATAATTGTGGGACGAAGAGAGCAGGCAGCCTGAATATTTATGGGACTTCAGCCAATCCCTGGGGAGATGTGTCCAGTAGGTGACTGGTGAGCCTTTGACACCTACCTGCCTGGCCTAAATATCTCAGACTGTCTACTTTCAAAAAAGCAGTCATTTGGGGGTATTTGTACTGTTCTGGTGTTTTTGGGCCTCAAGAAATTAGTTAGGCCGCCGATACATCAGTACTGGTCAATTTTCAGATATATATACCTTAGTTTGTGGACTCTATAACTTTCCTACCAACTAAATAATAAACAATGATTTGGGCTATTTTCACCAAAGAAATGTAGCAGAATACATTTTGGCCTATAATCTGAAAATTGACCTGGACAGGAAGGAGGTAAATGTGCCCTGTATTGAGGTTGTTAAATAGTCTGAGACCTGAGGCAGCAGGGTGCAGAGTTCCTGCGTCCAGTCCTGCTGAAGGAGACCCCTATGCATGGGGTACTGCCCCTTGTGCAGGATCCTAGAAGAAGCCTTCAGGAAGACACCAAGGTCCCAGCTAGGCTTAGTTGGGGGGGGCCTATTTGCAAGCTTACGTCTAGGGATCAAGTTGGGTCTGGAGATGCTCACTGGAGAGAGCCAGGAGGAAGTTGGTGGGAAAGAGTCCAGCTGTCCTATAGTGGTGTGAGACTACATCTCCCTCACTAGAAATCCTGGCAGATTTTGGCAGGTGGCAACTGATGATCCTGTGGCTATGTGAGTAAATGACCCCAGTGCAGAAGAGTAGTGATTGAGTTAAAAAAAAATTTATCTCTGGAAGGTGTGTTAGCTACCATCAGCCTAGAGATCCTGTGAGACATTTATTTTCCATGTAGTACAGCCAGAAAGTTAAGGAGTCCATAGGTTGTTTAGTTCTGCAGTTTATTTTGAGGTATCCCTTGCTTCCTTATCCAAGTTAAACATTCCTAATAAAAATACAAAAAAGAAACCCCTAGACTGTTCTTTGGAGCCAGTGGAAGAATGAAGAAAATGCTGTGTAAATGGCTGTCTGTGCTCTAAGGGGGAAATTAGACCAAGGTCACCAGCGGCTCTTACCCGTGTGTTCTACACAGAGGCGGACTGACCATTTGGAAACTCGGGCACTGCCCGAGGGCCCGGGGTCAGTAGGGGGTCCCATGAGATGCCCCTGGTACCTTTTTCATAGGCTTTTTTGAGTTTGTACAAGGACACACGGGCCCCATGATCCCCTATTGCCCAGGGGCCCCGTGAGTTGTCAGTCCGCCCCTGGTTCTACATAATATTAAAATAGGTGAACATAAAATTAAAATATAACAAAACAGTGCCCAGCATGCTGCTTGTATATCTAAATATTTGAAAAATATAGTTCCAAAGAGTACATATTACCAAATATCCATGAACCAAGTGGACTATTTAAAATAAATAATAATAAAATAACAACAATTTAACCCTCACAAGTATCAGTTGTTCCTCAATATAATTCTTCATACAATTATTGTTATTAAAAAAAGACTAAAAACTCATGATAAAAAAATAAACCCTGGAGTATCTGGTGCTCAGAATATCCTACCTTGTTCTCATTTATATGAAATTAGATCAATAATGTTAACCAGATGAGCCTAAATCAGTAAAGATAGGACATAGGGAAAAAATATTGGTTCGAGTTATAATTGGTGAGATCTGAAGCAACCTTTTGCATCATATATTTCTGGCCAGGTCTCTAACATATGTAAATAAATAAAATGCCACTTCCCTACAAAAGATGAGTTGGTATGCTCATTTCTTTGGCCACCCATGTCACCTACCTGCCTTTTGTTCCAGTGCTGTAGCTGTCAGGACCTGGATCTCCTGCTCTGTGCTTTCCAGAGTGGTAGGTTGTAGTTCCAGTCAGGGGTATATTTACTACAAGGCAAACAAGGCATTTGCCTAAGACAGCATTTTTCAGGGGGGGCAGCAGCATTTTTAAGAGGGGCAGCACCCATCCCCCGAAAGAAGGAAAGGAAGAAGGGACACACGCAGCACGGGGAGCAGGTGGGATCTGAGAGAGGCTGTGCGCTGTTTGATGGTGAATGCAGATCCTGATTCTCGTTCCTGGGGATGTCCGGAGCTGTGAAGGTGAGTGTCTTATCTCTTGCCGGAAAGGGGGGGGGGGGTTGCCAGTGTATTGGGGGGCGGGGTGGCAGTGAAAGGCTCTCTCGGGAGGGAATGGGGGGCTGGGGTGTTGTTGGTCAATGTCAGGCTCTCTTTGTGCGGGAGGGGGGTGTCAGGGTCTCTCCATGGAGGGGGGGGCAATTTGTGTGTTACCTAGGGTAGCATGGAACCTAAATACACCACTGGTTCCAGTGTCTGTCAGTGGGTGTCTCCTAGTAGCCAGCAGATCCCAGCAATCAGTTTACACCTGATGCTGTCTGCTGGGAGGGTATTTTAGTTGCTCCTCTACATTTACACCTCACTCCAGTGTTTTTCTAGTGTTTGGATGGATTTTGGTTTCACTGTAAATAATTCCTTACCCCATCAGGGTATATTACAGGATTAAGTTTTGGAGTTTGGAGGAGGCAAAGAAAAAGTTGCATACAGTATGCTCTGTATATGCACTTCTGTTATACACCTATGTTAGTAGATGCACTTTTGCTTGGTGACAGGTTCACATTAAAAGTTTAAGAAGCACCAAAAATATTTTTTATGTGTCAGGTTTTTTTTTAACTCTCAAAGAGATCACTGTACTATCCTGACAATGTTTTTATCCAATTTTCCATCGAGAAGGAAGGCACTATCTTTGTTCAGGCATCAACCAACGTCAACAATTACTTCCTGAAGTGAGATGCCAATACAGAGACAACACAGGCATGTAAACCCTACTACCTGTGCAGGTCTTGCTATATTTACACGTGTCTGACACAGATCATCCTCTGCTGCATCCTAACATGTTGTGACTTGCGGTCTGACAGCAGAGGGAGAAGAGACTGATAAAATGCTTCCTCCTGCCTGCAACAGACTGATGAGATCATTTCAGACTAGGCAAAGTCACTTGACTTCAGTGTACAGAATCATTATTAATGATAACA